AAGAAGCAGGGCAAAAAAATATAGAAACGGGGCCAGCCACAAGCCGAGCACTTTCCTCAGAGAGGTGGGATTTGGCAGCAATGTGACTTGGAGAATCTGACACTTTTGAACTCAGATGGGGCATGTGCCGTACTAGGATAAACATAAGCAGTTCCATGGCTGCAAAGACTAGAGATTTTCCAGGCACAAGACCACCACTCTCACCTCCCTCTCCTAAAGCGAGAGGATGTTCTTTTTCTTCAATATCATCTTCATCTGAAAAAAGGAAAGAAATGTCTAAGACAGTTAAGAAAGATCCCATACCAAAGATTACAAGAAATTACATGAAAAAGTTGAAAATCAGAAAGAAAAAGTTTTTTCACAGTAAGATATGACAAACATGGCTCATGTCAAACTAAATGTTTTAGTTAGAATGACTTTAAAGGGGTTTGAAATGCTTTAGAAGTACTGTGATTGCAACAATACTTATTAAAAATCCATCCAGAACTAGAAAAGTAGTAGTAATATTTAGACAAAATGAAAATGCAGTAATTAATTTGCTTCTTTTAAAACTGACTGTAAAACTAACAGCAATGACTGCCAAATAAATAGGCATGACAATATTTTTTTAAATTTAATGGCTATTAATTAAATGTTCCACCCTGACAAAACCTTATTTCAGCCTAAACTGATTATGAGATAAAAGAACAGAAAAGCATTGTAGGGTTCTATGTCTGAGTTCATTATTTCAGTGCATTCAGTTCAAAAAGTCTCTCTTCTGAATGGCAGCTTGGCCAGCTGCAGTCTTTCCTTCTCCCATTAAACAGCAACAGAGATTCAGTAAGTCAAAGCTGGCCTGAACTACCCCTATGGAGCTCCTATGAATTTTAATGATTGCTAGTGTTATCACATTCAGAGATTTGAAAAATACAACTTACTGGGCCTACAGTAAACAATTTCATTAATTCATATGAAGGAACAGAGCTTGCATTTTTAACTGTGCTGGTTCCTCAAGTTCCAGCAAAATCCTCTCTTTGTTTTTATGTGGAAAATGGGCAAAAGCTAACAGTTGGTTTTATTCTCAACAGTATATTGTGCCAGACTAAGATGGTAGTTTTCCTTAGTAAGAGGATATTATTTGGGTTTTACTTTACTTCCTTCAGGTAAAAGAAAACATGGCAGACCTAACCTAGCCAGGTATCAATGAACTATTTGCCAGGTTGCCACCTGGAAGCGAATTTACTTGGCTAAGATGGAAACAGTACATCCAATGCAAGATTTTTAAAGAAATGGTAAAGGGATGATTAAACAGGAAGATGCTCTGTTAAAAGGAAAAGGTTACTAAAAGTACCTCAGAAAACAGCTTTCAGACTGATGCGGATACCCTTAACAAGGATACACTTACATAAAGTAGAAATAAACTACCAGAATATGCTGAAGAAAAGCCTAGGCAAAACATCAGAAGCTGAAATATACCAGAAGAAGCAGGGATAAAAGAAGAAAGAATGAATTTTACTAAAGCTCAATAAAGGCCAAGTAGAGGAAGATGATTTAGGTATATCAACTCATCAGAGAATCTCAGAAAAATTTAAGTTGAGAGGGACCTCCATAAGTCATCCAAGTCCACTCTCCTATTCAAAACAGGGCGAACCTGAAAGCTAGAGCAGGTTGCTCAGGGCTCGTCTAGTTTTGAATATCTCCAAGCATGGAGATGCCATAACATCCCCGGGCACCTGTTCTACTGCTTCACCACTCCCATGGTGACAAATTTTTTCCTTGTATCTCATCTGGATTTCCATTGCTGCAACTTGTGTCTGTTGCCTTTTTCCACCATACGCCTTTTAGAAGAGTCTGGATTGGTCTTCTCTTTAACTCCCCTTTAAGAAGGGGGATATTCTGTGCCATATGAACTCTCTCTTCTGCAGACTAAACAAGTTCAGCTCTCCCAGCTTCTCTTCACATGTCACATACTTCACCTCCCTATGCAGCTTAGCAGACCTCCACTGGACTTCTGTAACAGTTTGTCAACATCTCTCTTATTCAGGATGGGGGGGGAAAGGCAAAGAAAACTAGACACTGCTCCAGATACATCTGCATGAGCTCAAGTTGAAAGGACAATCATACCCCTTAACCATGCTTTTCTAATGCATCCCAGTAACAAAGTCTTCAGCATTGCATAGGCACACCAGATTCATATTCAACTTGTCATCCTGCAAATCTGCTATCCAGTCTGTCAGCCCCCAAGCCTATATCACTGCACAGAGTTATTCCATCCCAAATGCACGATTTTGCACTTATCTTTGCTGAACTTCAGCAGGTTCTCAGTCCTGCAGCTCGAAATTACACTGGAGGGCAGTGCTGCCTTTCAGGGCATCCACCACTTGCACAGTTTGGTATCATCCACAAATTTGCTGAGGGTGCAATCCAGGTTGTTAATGACAACATTTATCAGTAGCAGACCCAATACCGAACTCTTAGGAACACCAGTTGCAACCAGCTGCCAGTTAGACTTGAATTTCCAAACTCCATTCAAGCATAGCTGTCCAGCCAGTTATCCTCCTACTTTTCAGTCCACGTGCCTCCCATCTGGCAATGATACTATGAGGTACTGGGTCAAAAGCCTTGCAAAAGTCGAGGTAAACAATTATCCACCACTCTCCCTTCATCCAAAGCCAGTTATTTCATCACAGAGGGTGATTAGGCATTATTTGTCCTTAGTAAGTCTGTGCTCACTATTTCAAATTGCATTCTTCTACTTTATGTACTCAGAAGTGGTTTCCAAGGGAATTTACTACAAAAATCTTTCAACACATACAGTAGGTTTACTGGCACATAGTATTCCAAAACCTGCCTCGTCTTTACATATTGAAAGTTAGATATAGCACCTACTTTTTGCCGTTCACTGGAAAGCTTTCTTGAGCACCACAGCTCAGTGGTCCCTAACCTGATGCTCAGCTACTGTAGGTAGCAATTTTCTCCCCTAAACTTGCTCACTAGACACAGAGAGACAGGAGAACTAAGCAAAGAAGATAATAGTGCCTCAGTTTTTCCCGATGTGTTTTGTGAGTAGATCACCCAATCCATTCAGCAGCAGGTCCAAATTTCCTTGGTCTTTTTGCTGACAACATATCTATGAAAGCCCTTCTTGTCACACTTGATGTTCATCATCAGTCTCAGCTCCAGCCAAATCGTGGCTTTCCTAATTCCACACGTCTATACCTGAGCAGACATCTTCAGTAGTCTTCCTGGGCAGTCTGCCCCCACTTCCACCATCCATACACTTCCTTGTCACATTTGAGCTCAGTCAGAAGTTCCTGTTCAGCCATGTCAGCCTCCTGCCATGCCTATTTGGCATCCTGCACTTTTGGATGAGCTGTTTTTTTTGTCACCAAAGATGAACCATCTCTCTTTCCTTTGCCCTTCTGGAAAGCTTACCACAAGATCTCATCTGGAAGCTCCTTGCAGAAGTCCAAGGCAGGCCAAAGCTTTTGCTCTGCTACTTGCTTTCTACATTTCCCTCAGAACAATGAACTCCACTATCTCATGCCTGCAACAGCCACAGCTACCATTAACCTTCATAACTATTTCTTCTGTATGAGTGAGGAGGAGATCCACTGAGCACCTCCCTTAATTGGGGTGGTGCTGAAAAAAGACTAAAAAAACCTGTGCCTTATATTCTTCTGAAAGCTTCAGATTGTTAGCACCCTGCAGTGTTGCCCTTCATGCACATGTCTGGATGGTGAAAGTCTTTCATGAGACTCCCATAGCTTGTGATTGGAAGGTTTCTTCCAGTTGGTCTGCTATGGCTTCACCCATCTGCTCTTCTTGATTAGGCAGTCTGTGGCAAACAAGAGAGTTCCTGACTGGTATCACCCTTCGCTTCCTCTTAGTGGTATCAGCTCTGACCTGTCAAAGAGAGACAGCTGGCCCAGATCCCTACCCTGACACTTTGTTCCCCTTCTCCTCTTGCCAGATCTCTATAGTGTTCTCCAACTGGGTATCTGGAGATACTTTTTGTTGCTGTAAGTCACAACCTTGCATCCTCCATGGCTGTATTCCAGCATAGTCTATGGCTGTCCCTCCTTCCCTGATACATGGGGCTTGGGCTCCTGCATCTGCAGGAACTCTGTAAAGAACAGATCATTCTTCCATTTGCCTTTCCTGACACTACACAGTCTGCTCACCTTCACATGCATTTCCTTCACATCTAACAGGTGAGACCAATGGTCACCTCCAGCCCCAGCTGCAGCACAGACAAGCACTTGGAGGACAGTCATATCAGGACTTTCATCTGAATTTCAAGCCAGGTCATTAGACCTCTGATGTGCCAAAGGTGATTGTTCTTCAGTCAGCAGACTGTGTCTTGCTGTATGTCACTGCCATCACTATGCTGACTCTAGTAGTCTTGAGCAGCACTTTTGGGTTGCATAAGCATGCCTTACCATGCCGACTGCCTTGCTCTTGTTTGCACACCCTGTTCCCAGAGCTCCTGAACATGTCAGGTTGCTGACACACCCTGAATGTCAGTGAAGTAAGAATCCAGGTGCAAGTCTGCTCCACTTCCTGGCCAGGTCTCCTGGGCAGGCAACTTTTCACACTGGCTCCAGTAGCAGTTCACTCACTTCATGAATGCCAGTTATGCCAGGGACGCACCACAAGACCCTACACTGGGGGCTGAAGCACTAACTTCAGAAAAAAGGTAAATGAAGTGCTAAGGATGCAGTCAATAGAGAAACATTAATGAAACTGAGCAAGGGGTTAGTAAGACCTTAAGTGGTGTGCTGGGTGTAGTTTTTGTCACTCATATTCAAGAAAAATGAATGAAAACCATGACATGAAAAGAATAACCACTAGAATGATCAGAGGAATAAAAACTACATCTTACAAGAGTTAAGGAATCAGCTGTTAAGATTATGACTACATCAAAAGTATCTGTGGAATACACAGCATTTTCCTCCTCAGTGTAAATATACTCCAATGTATCTGAGTTCCTTTCCCAATATGAAAACCTGTTGCTTATTTACTCTGCAAAGCAAGCCGTGTTTTCAAAATCTTACTTAGGGTGTTCCTTTTTTCCTGCAAATAATCTTGAGCTGCTCTTACTATCTGCTGGACAACTCCTGTAACCAGTAGCTGGACTGAAGGAGGATCCCAGGTCAGAAGGAGTCGGTGAAGCACACTCAAGAGTTCAACACCAAGGAGCTAAAGTAAAAGAAAATACATACAAAAAAATTAATTAGGACTTAACAATTCCTAATTGTTATGTCACTTGCTTATGACGAGCAAATACTTTTCTCGCACAAAAATAATTACAGCTTTTGTAATCATCACAGATGAAAGACCAAGACCTAGAAAAAGCTGATTGTTACAACATGCTCATACAGTACCTGATCTTCTGCAATATGGATCCTGGCACAAGAGGAATCTAGTAAGGTATGAAGTGCTTGTAAACAAGATGTAACATGCTCAACAGGCTCTTCAGGTCGTGGGGAACATAGAAACTGTATACTAACACCTGAAAAGAGCAAAAATTAAAAAGGAATGTTCACATCATCATAAAATCAAGTTTTCATTTTTAAGTTTCTTTTAAGGATAGCATGTTCCTAAACACCTGTAGAAAGATATGTGTTTTTCTCAGTTCTTTTTTCTCAATTCTTCTTCCTTTAAAGGAAAGAGAGTTTATGTAGTAGAAGCAGCAGAATTGTATTCACTTTCTCTTCTGCATCATGTCTTCCCCACAATTTGTCAAGAAAAATAATAAACAGTGACAGCAAGCAACTTAGGATTACTGAATGGAAATCCACACTTTGTTCTAAAGATCTGTAAGACAGACTTCTGAATTCTTCAATTGTAAATTGAGTTTTACTTTATTGAGCTCTCTTAGATGTAAAGATAACAGAGATGAAGTTGAGCCTCAAAAATTATTCAATATTCATATTATACATATGGCCCTTAATTATGGTTTTAAATATCTCCGTATCTCAGCAAACTATTGGCATTCCTCGGAATAAGTGATCCCATCCACCTCTTAAAGCTGTTCAACAACAGTAAAGGGAAACAGTGAGTACTACTCACAGATGAAAAACAGATGCAAAAGCTACTCCATACAACTTGTCAAGTATCAGTCTCTACTGAACTGTGTTTTTATGAGGATGTGTATCAAGTATCAGTCTCTACTGAACTGTGTTTTTATGAGGATGTGTATTTTAATTAACCTTACAGCTTTCATGTCTTTGAAGCATAACATTTTGTATCATCTGAATTATATTACAGCGTAGAACAGCTCCTACTCATTTTATTCAATTACACAAATAAACTAGACATACAACTTGTCTATAAAAATCACGATAATCATACTGGCAAATATTCTGTCAGAGCTATGAAGAACACAGGAGACAGAGAGATACGGAGAGAAGGAGACAGAGATATTTCAAAACATTACTGTCCAGACATGCGATGCATTTTAAATTTCCCACATTTCAAGTGAAGTATCTTTTCTTATTCCCACACCATTTCATACCACAATGTGCTGCTACTGAACTCTAAACTTGTAACTCTTACCCAAAATTAAGTGCATTCGATCTTTGTTTATCTCCGGCAAAGACTTAGTGGTAGGTGGAGTTCCAGGTGTCTGGTTTAACATAATAGATGTAGAACGTTTCTGAGAATTGGGCACTGCTGCAGCAGTTTCTTCTGTTGACTCTGAAGCATTAAATCCTGTACTGTTTAGCCAAAGTGCCACTGCATGTAGTATGGGAGCCCAGGAGTTTCGGTAATGCAGCCTAGCTGTATCAATTGTTTCTGGAGTGTAAAATGCTCCCCCTGTTAAATTAGGCAACAAAGCAAAGGCAAATTCTGAAATTCTCTGCAAATAATAGACAAAAAGGAAATACAGGGCAAACAGGAGACGGCAAGGTGCGCTCACAGACCAGGCGGCCAACCACATCCTGGGCTGCATCCAAAGCAGTGTGGCCAGCAGGTTGAGGAAGGAGATTCTGCCCCTCCACTCTGCTCTGGTGAGACTCCACCTGGAGTCCTGCGTCCAGCTTTAGAGCCCTCAGCACAGAAAAGACATGGACCTGTTGGAGCAGGTCCAGAGGAGGGCCACAAAAATGATCAGAGGAGTGGAACAGCTCTCCTCTGAGGACAGGCTGAGAGAGTTGGGGTTGTTCAGCCTGAAGAAAAGGCGGCTCCAGGGAGACCTTGTTGCAGCTTTCCAGTACTCGAAGGGGGCTCATAAGAAAGTGTGGACAGACCTTTTATCAGGGCCTGAAGCAACAGGACAAGGGGTAATGGTTTTAAAGTAAAAGAGGGTAGATTTAGACTGGATACAAGTAAGAAATTTTTCACAATGAGGATGGTGAATCACTGGTACAGGTTGCCCAGAGAGGTGGTAGATGTCCCATCCCTGGAGACATTCAAGGTCAGGTTGGACAGGGCTCTGAGCAACTTGATCTAGTTGAAGATATCCCTGCTCACTGCAGGGGGCTTGGACTAGATGACCTTAAAAGGTCTCTTCAAACTGAAACTATTCTATGATTCTAAGGAGCAACAATAGTACCCCTCATAAAGCGCAATGGCCATGATGGAACAGTAAGCAGAGAGCAGGAAAGGCAGGCAAAGTCATCAGGTCTTGCAGCATTTTTCATACAGAACACTCATTCTTAACTCAGTAAAATATTCTAAGACAGTATCCACTCTCATCTGAAGGGCTATGTTTTTCTTATAGTAAACATCTTCTTGCATTTGATATTAAAGTATTAGAGGTGTAGAAGTATTCTTAATTCTACAAATACATGGTTTTAATGACCTCTGTGATTCAGGTAAAGAATATCTTCATTGCAGACTGGAGGATAAAAGCACACTCCAAACATACATTCCTATTACATGTAGGCAGAAATTTATCACTTGCATAAAAAAAAACCCCAATCCTGCCAAATAATTTATAGAATAATTTTGAAGTCTCATATAAGGGTTTCTTTCTGTTTTTCAGAACACCACAAGAAGAAATTCCAGTGCTTACCATCTGGTGGAAGTTGGGTAGCAAACTCAGCTGGTAAAGTTAAAAGAGCATAATCTTTCAGTGCAGCTAACCAGAGACGGCTAAGTGCGGGTAGCTCAGGTTGTACAAGTGTTATCAAACTGTCTGGTGGCAACTCATCCACAGTACCAAAATCATCCTCATCTTCCTCTGTGCTCTTTAAAACACGCTTTGGTTTGGTCTCTGCTTCTTTCTTAATTTTCATGGCAACAACATACACCTAGAAGAAAACCAAATATGAAATTTCATGCTGGGAAATGCTAAAAAGAAAAAAAGCAGCAGCCTTTCCCATGTGAAAGTAACAGATTCCATACACAGATGACTCACTGGAAAATGACTGGGAAAAAGAGATTTGCAATACAATTACTTTTTTTGTAAAATATTTTTTCTTTTATTTCTATCAGTATATAACACTTAGGAGCATAAAGGGCAATTTCCTAAAACAATCTGGTTACACACTTTCTTCCAAAAAAAGTGTCAATTACTTCTGCTTTACACAGACATTGATTTAAATAACTGATTATTTAAATCAATGCATCCTTATTGCAAAGATTTCTTTGACCTACATTAAGAGTTACTAGATAAATTAGAGTAACTGTCACTTTCTAGGTGCAGATTAGGTATCATAAAGACATGAAAATAACATTAGATGTGTTACATGAATACAAGAACATTTATGTTTGTCTTTGGTAGCTGCTACTAGAAGATAACAGGACTTTCAAGAACTTAGATGAATACAGGAATAAGCAGAAATATCATAAAAATACAGTAAAAATAAGCATTTTTAGAAAATAAATAGAATAGAAATAAGTGTCTTCAGATGCTCCATATCAAAGCTGAAAATTACAGTATGGGGTGATTAACATCACACAGCTGAAGTGTTAATACTTTCCTTTGTAATTTCAAAAGCAACTTCGACGAAAATTTAATGAAAAAACACCTCAAACCTTTAAGTACTAGACTAAGAGAAATCAAAATACCACTTGTGTAATTATAAGTAGAGCTCTACAGCATGCAAGTAACATTTCAGGAAGCAAGGCAATGTAAATAGTGCTAACTCTGTCTTTTGTAAATAGTTGAAGACTTCTGGTACTCCAGCCATTCCCTAACAATATCTACATTAAGCCTGTAATTGCTTATGAATACTTTGACAAACTCCTAGTTAATTAACTGCAATATTTTCCCAGAATATATTTGAAGGCTGTTTGGTTTTGAAGGTTGTTTTATTTTTTTCAAGTTTAAGAGCAGTACGATAGGAGGAAAATCAAAATCCGATAGGGTATGAATGTGTACTTTAATACAGAAAAGTGCAAGAGAACAATCACCCTCACCATAAATATATATCGACTGGAAGAAAAAGGAACAGAGAAAGATAAAGAGATGAAAACATCCCGGGAGTGGAACTGCAGGTAAGGGGGAGGGCCAGTGAGGTGTGAGGCTGCTACTACACTGCAAAATATTTTCAAAATTTTAAAGATTTAATAGTCAATGTTTACCTCAGCCCATGCTTTCAGAACTGCAAGTTTTTCCATAGTAGTCGCACTCTCTCGGTAAAGCTGGCTGGAAGATCCCTTTCCTGCTTGCACTTTATCCAGGGAAGAGACAAGAAGGTTGTGAACTCGGCGGAGATCATTCAGGTCACTTACAACCCCACTTCCTATCCACGTGCTACATACCTAGACAACAAAGTTTAGAATCATTCTAAACTAGCAAAAAAACAACCACCTTATAAATGGGAAAAAAGAAATCTGTAAGAAAACAAAACCCAAAACAACCACCACAGAAAACTTTGCATCTCTCTTCCTGCTTAAAAAAAAAAATTGCAAGGTTTTCCTTTTTTGCTCCCCACCCATGATAACAGAACTGCTCAGGTGAGTGGTTACAAAGGCTGTATTTGCAAAGCAAATTACAGTGCAACTTAATAGATATATGGAAAATATTTAAAATAGGTTTTTAATCTCCCATAGATAGATGGGAGATAGTTTTTTTTTATTCTGTTCCCAAGTGTCTGGTCAAATCATTCAGGTAATGGGTCATTGTATCCACTGTGAATAACATATTGGACAGCAATCAATAGAAGCATATCTTTAAAAACCCATACCTTTCAAATTATATAGTAAGGCTCCATACTAATGAGAAGCTTTCAAGATCGTTAATGTCAAGAAAATACCTAGAAATGAGTGAATTAAAATCTTTAAGCAACTGGACTCTTATCTGGAACCAACAAGTTCTAGCTCTGTAACGATCAATAGATTGTGGACAGACAGTTGGGTGTCTCCTCACTTTTCATTCGAATTAAATGGGCCCAAACAGGTACTTAAAATACAAACATCATACATATCGGCTGCTCCTGTCTAGTACTACACATTGGCATTCATCCTCTGAAACACATTTATGCCCAGACATAATGCAGGCAATAGAAGAATTCTGGTACAGCTGCTAGCTGCTTTCCTACAAAAAGGAACACATTCTTTCAGAAAAGCTTCTTTGATTCTGTGGTGATTCTACAAGGATGAGGAACAGAAGCAAAAAACCCCACAGAACTCAAGCAGTTCAGGTTTTACAAACTTTTTTGATGGCATTTTTGTCCTAACTCCAGTTTGTTTTGCTTTTAGAGAACAAGTTCCATGAAAGCCTTTGGGGAAGGGCCCCTCATCACCTGGAATGATGGACATATTTAAAGTAAAAACAAACTCAAAAAGTGTCCTGAACGTGCACAGAACAAGGCTGCTGAAAATCTGTCACAAATCCATAATTCAGTCACAGTAGGATGAAGATCAGCTTCAGTCCTGCTGCTAGCAGCTGTTTCAGTAATGACATAAAACTCTTAACGGTTAAACACGTTCAGTGCAGCTCATCTCTGTCCATGTAACTTCTAGAGAGGAGTTAAATATCCAGACCTCATCTCCAACAATTTGATCCTGTAAGTGCACGCATCCACTTTAAAACCGGTTGACTAGAGAAGACTTTGATTGACAAGTTATAAGGAATGTTACATGTTTCCACACAAACTGCCTCTTCATCTAACTTTAAATACACAGAAGTGTTCTGTAAGGCAAGATAAGCATATTCTTTCCTGTGCATAGATACCAAACTATGCCATATTTCATCTACCCTTACAAGTTTTGCTGAAAATTAAGCGTATAAAACAACAACCCAAAATCACAGTCCTGCTGGATCAAGATTTACTAAAGAAAACTCACATACACAAAGTTACTATTTTAAAACTGATGTTTGCATAGCTAATTAAACTGCTGCTTTAAACTAGTAATTTAGCTGTGTAAACCACACACCAGATAATACTAGAGCTATGTTGCTGATAGCTGATTTAAACTACAGTAGGACAAGATCACACACAAGAAAACACACACACAAAAATCTTTCACTGAATTTTCACTGACAGGTTCTTACTATGACTGTAAGGAGAATGCTCAGATCTTCCAAAATCTAAAATAGAGTATTAATCTGAATGGAAGTTTAGTGATTAAAGGTAAATTACCAGTAATCCCAATATTTGATCAGACTCAAAGGCATCTCAATAAATACATTACTATTGGTCTCATTAAGCAAGAGGTTTTTTCTTTTTTTTTTTTTTTTTTTTTTTTTTCCTTTCAGGAACAAATGCAGAATTGACATGAAAACATAATTAGTTTCAGAAAGACTTAATATTTTCTGATGTAGCTCCCTAAGAGGACTTTTGCACTTCTAAGGAACAAAATATATTACTAGGGGACTCAAAAGATCTTGCAAAAACCTCACAGTTTAGGTTTACAAAATTTTCCAGTCATTTGCTACTACTTCTCTTCTGCATTCTTCTTCCAAAAAAAAGGAAAATCAGTTTGGCTTATCCTCTCTGAACACTTTCTTCTGTACCTGGCAGGCTTTTGCAGTTATATCAGATGGTGTATCTTGGGAAAAAGCTGGCCTCAGAGCAGCTCCAACCTGTTGATGGGAAGAAAAATAAAAAAAAAATCCAACTATAACAATAGTGACACAACATTCTTCATCTCACCGTGTTTAAAGGTCAAGCACACATACAGAACAAGTAAAACAAGATTGCCAATTTTGTCATTATAGTTACATCCCAAACTTATCCTTGCTGCCTAGCAGACATTTGCAGTAGCATTCTTTAAACAACAACAAAGTCCTAAGCCAGTTTTTTCCTGCTTGCCCATTGCCCTTTTAAGCCTCAACTACCTTTGTCAAATATGTGATACTATCTTCCTTCTGTTAATGATTAAAAGAATACTCATTAAAAGTATTACAAGTGCAATTTATGCTAAGGCTCAAGAAGCCAATGACTTTTTGATGTCCAAAGCAATAATGATGTGAAATCAAATGTTTATGGTTGGATTTGCATCAAGTTCCCAAAATGGCAAATACTGACAACAAAGCCTTTTAGGCAGTTGTTATAAGGCAGCATTTTTCTGAAACAAAAGGTACCAAGTCAAAGAGACAGAAGCAACGGTTACAGCACTACAGAAGGAAGAAGAAAAAGGCAGGAAGTGAAAAGGATGAAAGCTTGCCTTTAAAAAGATCTTGAAGACACAGTGAAGACAAAAGAGGTGAAAGACTTAAGCTATACCAAAAAAAAAGAAAGCAATAATACCCCCAAATAAGTCTTCAACTGCCTACCTCCCATTCCTATACTTCTGTAGTTTTCATTTAAACAGAAGTATATTCATTAATTCCCAAGAAAACAGATTTATTAGATTCACTCTGGAACTGAATAGGGGTTATTTTCCAATTCCTAATTCTACAAATGAAATGCCACTCTTGCCAAAAATTAACTGTAACTTGTAATATTTAGCTTTCAAGAATCAACAGCTACTGAATTTTTACTTTTGTCAGCTACTAAATTACAACAAATAGGAAGAACTACAAAAATAATTTGTGAAGAGCTAAATAGAAGGTTCTCTTCAGTACATTTTCACACACAAAAATCTCTTCACAGGTCTTTTGAAGTTACAAAGTGTTCTCAAAGCTAATACTGGCATATTAGCATAAATATACAATTTCCTGAACTTATAAAGGAGGTCTCACATTAGCCTGATACTGCTCCAGTATCACATGGCCTGGAAACTCTGGCTCAGGAACTGATGCAAATTTCTTGATAATGTCTTCAAGAGCTTGAAGTCCCGCCATTCGTAATTGGTTGCTGTGATCAGTTGCAGCCATGAATGCCATTCGAATCAGGTCAGAGAGATGGAGTACTAAGAAGTCATCTTAGAACAAAACAGAAAGAACTATTTAGTAACTTAAAAGTCGGCTAACATGACAGATATTTGTTACATTTTCCTCATTGACACATACAAATTTTAGCTATTCTTTTTCAAAGGTTCCACATTTAGGGTGTGGAAGAAGCCAGGAAAGAATGTAACCTATTTTAATTTCTCCCCCCCCCCCCCCCCCCCCCAAGTGATACAAAGACTTTATTACTAAGATAACCTTAAAAATTAACCACAAATTTGAAACAAAATTAAATATATGATATACAGAAACTGCATTGAATAGAATATGTTAATGTAGCTGCATAGCTTAGAAGAGATTAGAACATTTAGTAAAGCTAATTTTAGCGATTCCCCCAAAACTATAGAAAATCTTCAAGGCAATCCCTGTTCGAGTCCTATGCTTATAGTGACCCCTGCTGATAAAGGAAAACCTCATCAAGTCTAAAAAACTGAGTATGCCTCTTGTTCCACTCCCAAAAGCCACATCCAAGGCTGTAAGTAAACAGTAGGCAACATGCAGAAAAAAACAATACATAACTCAGTAAACATTTCTGAAAGGATTAGTCTTCTCTACTTGTTCTATTTCTTTCTTTAGTCTCAATTTGAAATTACCAGATGTTGTACAACTAATATGGAAAAAAATATTTAAGAACATAGCATCAATGATGACTAACAAAAAATCACAAATTATGAAAGCTCTACATATTTTCAAGTCTCAAGGTAAAAAAGAAAAGTTTATTTTGTAGCTGAAACTTTTCAGAGGTATGTCAGTAAAGAAAGACTCAAGACACTTAAAAACTATGAAGTGGTAAAGTCTGCAGTTAGTTAGTTTTTCAGACCATCACAGATGTTAGTAAAATTTAAATATTTTGGAAGATGAAGTTGCAGGGGCGGGGGGTGGGGTAGAAATTTTCTGAGTTTTCCTTTTTACCATGATACCAAACACATCAAGCTCACTTTAAATAAATTTAGAGATGTAAACTGCCAGGATTATTATATGCAATCTTCCGCAGGATCCTGCGACAGCAGTTATTTCATTACTTTCTCTACAATATAACAACATCTCAAAATAAACTTTCCCAAAACTCCTCCCTCTCAGTCTTCAAACAGAGATCTCAGTCTCAAACCAAGTCAGAAAGAAGATTCTCACAAAACCAATGCACAGGGCGGGAATCAAACTGTATCACACAAAGAAAGACTTGTTAAATCTCAAAATCATAGACATTAAAATCCATTAACCCCATGCATTCTAGGATGCTCATGATATACATCCTACATACACAAGAGTCCTCATGAGCACTACATGGGTGAAAGCAAATGATCACTATGCACTGGAACCAATACACATGGACAACTCAGGGACAGAAACCTCTCACTATGCATTAGAAAAACGTTTCTTCACAAAACAAGTATGTCATCTCTCAATTTTGATACTCTAACACATAAAAGTATCTTCAAAACATGAGCTTTAAAACTAATATTCATCAGTCTAATGGATACCAAAAGAATGAACTTTATAAAGCAGCAGGGTCCACGTCTTGTTATAAGTCTGTCCCACATCCCTCTCTCCACAACTCTCCAACTCTCCATAATTACATCGCCTTATCTATTTTTTCTTTCCTAGCTTCCCTTTTCATCTGGAGATGCTAAAATAGTCTCCAAAGTCTAATTCATTATGTTAAACTCAGAAACTGTTCCCAGTTCACTCTTAGCTAGAAGTTTACTGCTTCTATTTCAGACTAGAGAAAAGGTTTGTAAATCTAAGAGGTTTTTTTTCCAAGCAGACCAGTCTATCAGAATTTACATCCTTCAGCAAACCTCATTCTTTGTGTGCATGGTATGGTAACTACAGTGGTTATAAAACTACAGTTTTATTGGCTTTTGCAGGCCATTTCCTTTGTTTTTAACCATTTGAATGAAAGGATAACTGCTTATATTTTTTTCTTGGTTGTGTAATCTTAAGCTGTACAGAGGTGTCAAAAATTAGAAAAAAAAATTTAAAACAAAACAAAATATGCACATTCTGTAATTACTTTTTGGGTTTTTAAGTCTGGCTGAACGAGCCAGTGCCAGATCGAAGTGTGCCTTGTTTGCATTCTCACACAGCATAATAACTCGGCACAGACAGTCTGCTGCAAACACACGAGTTGCCCAACGAGGTGCTACAGAAGGCTTGGATTTATCCTCTTCACCCAAAGTGGTAAACATTGTATCGTCATCCATCTCATCCTTCTTCTCTGATTCCTCATCCTTCCCTCCTCCCAACGGAGCAGCAGTGCTCATGTCTACAACAGAGAACAATTAAAAAAAAAAAAAAAAAACAATCTGCAGAAGACTGCTAAAGGACATATTGAAACCTTTCCTTACACTCAGATTCAAAACAAACTAAGTCTTCTGCTGCAACAACAACATTTGAAAAATATAGAAAGGCACAAAAATATCAGTAAAATAAATGTTTTTCACCTCTAATCTGGGCTATGCTACCCTTTATTTGGCTTAAATGATACGAAATAAATTCCTGTAACGTTAATTCTCCACAGATGCCAACTGTAGCTGAATCCAGTAGCTAAACTTCTCAGCTTTGAAAATTAACCTATTAAATTGCCAATAAACAGGGTAAGGAGATTACCAGGCTCAGAATCAAAGAATCAGCTTGGCTTTGAACTACTCAGCTCCTGTTTCAAGTAAAGGCTAGAGTGCATATTAAACTGAAACAAAACTACAGAGTCACATGCCATGGGATAGATATGCAGCCAAGTAGGCAGTTTATGGGACCCACAGATGTGCCTAACATTCAAAAAATTGTTTTCTCCAAGTATTGCTGTGAGACTTCATTTCAGAAAATAAAATTACTTCAGGGATCACATTAAAAGAAACAAAATCCAAACAAGGACAAAAAGCAAAACATGTATATACTTCTGCTATTCAGTATCTTGCAAAATGCCAAGATACTGACAAAAATTACTCTAGCAATCATTAGAGGAGAACAAGAAGAAATTATTGCAAGGGTAACCACCCCAACTAAGGCATACTTCTTCGAAAGTCTAAATTTAAGCAGCTGAAGGGCCAAGACATTTAAAAAAAGAGAGAAAGAGGCTATGGCAAATCAAACACGGATGAAGCCAATTCACAAGAAGAGTGTTTTGAGAAGGCATCCAGGACCTTATGTGGCCCATTTGTAAATCTCTGCTTAAAAAGCAAACCAGATTTTGTTCATATGCCAGTTATTTGGGTCAACGGGTTCAAAATGAAGTTGCTGGCTTATTAAAGTATAGCTGAGAAATTTATTTAAATATGGTTCTCTCAGAGATTATTTCACCTACTAATAAATAAATAACAGACTGGACAACCATGCTAAAAACTTTAAAACCCATCCCACATGAAATAAGAAAAGGATATGCCAACTTCAAACTTGGGAAACAAGGTCTTTCTTACTGGGCAGATATATAGTATCTACATTGCATAAAGAAATCATTGGTAGCATTACTCATCAGTAAACATAAAGCTGGCAATGTTTAGAAAGGGCTTCAGGATGAACTCACAGTATGTTAATAAACAAGTATAAATGCAAGGGAAATGAGCAGAATCTGCCTCACAACCATCCTACAAGCTCAAAAACAGGAATAAGGTCTCAGAGGACAAAATCTGTGCAAACAAGTCTGCAAAGCTGAACAACAAGCAAAAGTTTCATCACCGTGGTAACCCATCATCACATCAGTAACTCACAAAACCTCATAAAAGAAAGCCCAGAGTATGTACAGCACTCTTCCTTCTGCATGGCCCTGACATATAAAGGCTAAAAAGAATACGTCTGCTTTCACTAAGATACTGAAATGTCAGAGTAATAATCATACTGCTTCTCTCCTGGAAATCCTACTTTCAGGCAGCTAACTTTTTTATCTTAAAAGCAATATTCTAAAACTTAACATAACATTGATGATTTCTTTTTTCTAAGGAAGTTTTAATGCACTATGATCAAAGTCCTATATACTATATAAGCTATGTCTTAAATAGGATAAAAGATAAGCTCCAGACAAATATTGACAGAAGATGCTAGTATTAAGGACACACTGTTGTTTCTGTGAACAGTATAGAACGCTTACCACTGGAAGCTGCAAGCACATCTTTACAAAGCATTAGCCAGTGAGAAAGATTTTCTACTGCCAGCGATGAAAGCATATGTCCCAGAGTATCATGGATATCTGAGCACAACTTCCGATCCGTCTCCCGATCCAACATCCCAAAAAGGACACCTTCGAGGCCTGTCTCTGTTATATTAACCCCCTGATGCCGGGAATGAGCATCTCGCCGAGAACCAGCTCCTGGTGCAAAAGGATTAGTATCTGCAAAATGATAATGAGAAATCTTTTCTGAAATCTGTAATTCGGTTTTAAAATTTGGAATAACAGACTAGAATTAGACATTGTGTGTGTATAGTTCAGACAATGATACACCAAGATGTTACTGAATTTATTCTGAATTAACACTAGAAAGATTTTAATACAGCAATTCATTTACTTTCTGCAAGGCAAATAACACCTCCTAGTATTACTGAAAAAATTAAAAGGGGGGGCGGGGGGGAATCTTTCTCTCTCCAAGGTACACACCCCATGAATTTGTAAAAACTCCTAATAGTATTGAACTCTCAAAAATCTTTCCAGAGAGAGACTTAACTGGTGTAATTTAATAGGAGTAAGCTCACAATTCTATCTTTGTATGAAGACAATGCTGATCAACACTGTGGAGCCTCCCATTTTCAGAATAAAATGACACGTGTAAGAATTGAACCAGTCAGCAAAGTTCACAGGCTTTGCAGACATGCTACTAACAAGAGTATAACACAACCAGGTATCTCAAACAACATACAATTAAGTCAATTTTCAAAAGAGCAAGACTTAAAATAGCAGAAAAAACTTTAAAATGTTTCCACTGTATATACACTGCATTCCCTATTTGATTGCCAGTCTCAATGGGCAAGAGAAGTTTAAGCCTGGACATTACAAAAAGTTAAACTGTAAGTGGTAAGCAGGGGTGTAGCCAGAAGTTACTGGAGCTGGAAGGGTCAGTTTTAGTTTTTTGTTCTGTTGCTGGCAGTTTTTTTCCTCTCTCTGAACGTAAACCAAACATGTACACTCAGCTGTTACAAAAAGGCCACATGGAAGAAATACTTACTGATACCACTGTTTTCTTTGTCTCCAGCATTTTTTGCTAAGCTCATGGCATATTCACATACTTCTGCTGCTTCCCTCTGAGCAAGCTGTCGTAAACATGCAACTGCAGCCCGGCGAAGCAGCAAGTGGGAACTGCACAAATGAACCTAAAAATCAGAACCATTACAGGTGAGTGAACTGCTGCACCCCCGTATGAATACATCAGTGCTGCTAAGGACTAACAGCATTCTACTTTTCCATCATATGCCCATGTGTGAGCTGCTGGGTACCAAGCTCTTCACGAGATCTTGAAAGTTCAAAAGTAAGCACTTTTTAAAATGTACAAATATGAAAAGAAAGCTGGTATCTACAGACCTGACAGATGTTATCTGGTTAACGAGATCAAAGCTTAAATATTGGAACTACTGCACCAGTGTGATTTAGACTATACTTTCCAGCCTGTTACACTCTTAGTACTACTCAACCTCATATTCTGCTATAGCTGGAAATCACATTCTTTTAAGCAAAAAGCCATCATCAGGTGTACCACAACTATCATGAAAACTTTTATTTCAAACTTGTACCAGAATTTATAGCATAAGTTTTTACAAGTGCCTCTCAGTAAGACAGCTTCAGATTTCTTTGCTAACCAACACTGGCTTCTAATTCCTTTTGAACTACCTCAAGTACAAATATTTTTCTTATAGAAGAATTGTGCATGCTCCCTATTTTCCTGAGAGGAAGTAGCTACACAGAGAACTGTATGTTTTTCCACAGTGGAAGAGATGAAGAGTGCTCTTTAAGAAATTCAGATTCTTTATTTACCCTGGGGAACTTGTTTTTAGTAAACCAAATACACATTTGCTTTCTTGGTATTAGGTTATTATGTGGATGGAAATTGCTTTCCCAAATGAAAGGGTTGTATAGTTTATAAATTATTTTAACAGTAGGTCTTTATTCCATGTATGAATGTATAACATCTTAGTCCTGAAAAAACAAGCAGACTGTAAAGAACATCTCAATACCACACTAAAGCTGTTTTAATGGAACTAAAACACAGAACATTTGGGGGATTTAATTAATGGATAGAGTACTGCCCATTCCAAGTTACAAAACAAAAAACTAGTGGTTATGAAGACAATATAATATGCAGGAAGAAGAAATGAAACCAGATTGTGGAACTGTGTGTTTAATTTTGGTACCTGGCATTAAATCCATTCAGAAGTGAGTTAGAAAGCCATGAAGAGTTTGTTAATGGGGAAGGTAGGGCAGACATTGCCTACATATCTATGTATTTGCAGTACAATTAAAAGTACAAGACAATTCAGAAAAAAACTTACCAAACTAAGTATTATTTGGAAGTAAAGAATATGAGAAAGGAGAAGGAAAATAGCTTTTGTTTAGCAGAGGACCACAAAGGAACAGTAAAGAGACAGCAGAAAACCCTGGGAAAAGTTTTCAAAATAGCACTAGTTATTACTGTATGAACTTCACTGTCTGTAGTATTACCCAATGGTACTTACAGACTAAATGACTATAGGGATTGTTTGTCATGTTATTCAAAGGGCCTACCTACTTTTGGGTATGTTGCACCCGTTTCATGCAAAATTTTGTGAAAGGACAAGCGACAGATTCTGAGAACACACTGGCACTTCCAGGAGTGCTCCGGAGGGGGAGCAAGGGCAGCGGGGGGAAGCAGGTAACAATGAGAGGATGCCCTAGGGATAGTCTGGATAGCAGATTAAGAAAAAGGTCCAGTGTTGACATAAGTAGGATTGCACTCCTTCAGGTAACACAGAACCACCAGATCCACAAAGAATGACACAAAGAACTTTGCAAAAAATCCAATGGACGTTAGGGAGAAGCTTTTCAAATTTTTCAATATTGGACTGCTGAACCCTCTAAAAAATAATTTTAAAATAGTAATAATAAAAAAACCCACCCTCACTAAAACACACACCCATACACAACACCTTTCCTGTTATAGTCATATTTGGTATGTTTGGGGTTCCAGCTTCTGCCTTCCTTCCAGGCTTAAGCAAGGACTTGCTGACAGAACACTAATGGAGGGAGAAAGCAACGCTAACAATAACACCACAAGAATTTGAATGTCAGCATCCACTATGTTGACAGTGGTAAAATGAATCCAAAATCTACTACCTTCCCCCAACTCATTCACTTCCCTCTGGGCATGCAATCAGTTGGAGGAAACGGAGCACTTCAGCATCTTTTTACTCAGTCGTATTATATATCAATGCTTGCTATATTCTGCTATCTAGGGAGCAACAGAAGCAGACCCTGTGACTTCAATTTAGGCAGCATTCTAAAAAGATCTACAATGGTTTGGGGACAGACATCCTTTTATTGCACTCCAGTGTTTTTGCAAATGTGACTTGCTTACTACACATGGGTATCCTTGACACCTTACAAAGTGCTTCTCCTGTCCTCTGCTAAGCACATACATAAAACTTAAGGAACAAAAGCAATGCATTTTGTACTCACACAAAGACTGGGAACCAGACTGGACAGGTTGACATGCCGAGGTGCAAACATATGAAGCTGCTGAAGGCAGGATATGGCAGCTGCCTGAACAAGCGAGTCTGAATGGTCTTGTGTGATTGCACATCCCACCAAACAGGAGGAACGGATTGTTGAAATTGTAGCTCCATTACCTAATGATGTAATACGATATCCTTAACACAGCAGAATTTTTGTATGAAAACTAGACTTTAAATCTTTGAAAAACAAGTATTTTTAATGCTTCAAAGTTCACAGACTAACATGCAACTTTTCTGAATTCCTGCCACAAATTAGTATCTACACAACTTCAAAGAAACACTACGGAGTGTTTCAGTATCTCTTTTTTTAGCCCAGTTAAACAATGTCCTGTACAAATTAAATTCTGGATCAATGATCGTCAGTCAGAAATATTTTGAGAGTAACTTTCCAGGACATGAAACCAGTAAAATTATCTGACTTTGAATTTCAAAAATTCCTTTCATTCTATACATATGGGCAACATCTCATGCACCAAATCATCTCCTAAAATATCGGATCACACTTAAGCTAGTATACGCGTAGGCAGGTGATTTTAGTTAGCTGCATTAGATGAGCTGCACTGCTCTAACGGGACAAGCATTCAGAAGAACAGTATTTAATTTGAAAAATAATCCCATTCTGTATTTAAGAATTAACCTGCATCAGGTTTATAAAATATAAATATTCTGTAATTCAATAAAAATCTTGAATTACAGAAAAATGTTACCTGCAGAAGACATTCCACATAAGTTGTTGTTTATTTTAAAAGTTAATGACACTCCAAAAGGTTAACACACAGCAAGCAGATACACAAATTTAATTAAACCATCTAGAATTTTTTCATAACTAGAAATTTAAGCCCAGTTATTTAGCATTAAAATTTCACTAGTGGCTGGCTCTCTGGCACTGAATCAAAAACCATCCTATAAATATTCTTAAAAATCCCAGTTAGACAAAGTTAGAAATCCATGGTTTTGCCATCTGAGACAAAGAATTTTAGATACAGTGTTTGGCATGACAAGATCTTATTCTCTTCAGTAAGGTACGGTGACGTAAGAATATCAGGAACGAGTGAAAATGAGTTACAGTTCACAACATTATCAATGATGTCAAACTTAAACTCTTGCCATCAGTTAAAAATAAAATCAACACGTTTTGAAAAAAGGAAGAAAAATCTTGCCTCTTGCCCCATCTATACACAAGAATGTATGTGGCAAAATATGCAGCAAGGGAGTTTTTCATCTTTTTACCTACCGCGCAAATTTGCCATTAGCCAGAACACCATACGTCACTGCAACTTCTTTATATAAATCTCAAACTGCAGTCAAAAAAACCCCGAGCAGTCATAAGTAGGATCAGAAGTGAGACTGCTTGCAGGACTGTAACTAGATTTGTCAACATCCCGCCACCCTCCACTTGCAACTGCAATGAAAAAAACCCTTATTCCGTTTCAGATTGCGATATATTATCTTTATACAATTTATATTTTTTGATTTCTCTTCAAATTCCCACCAACCTTGCAACTCAGGGCCAACAGTAGTTATTATAGCTCCAAGACATCGGCCTAAGCATTGATGTACTTCTGTATGCGATGGTGGAACAGTTAAGAGCAGAGTAAGGACTAGAGAAAGTGTTGGCTCCACATATCCACGGTACATTGGTCCACTAGAATCTACTATCAAGGCAAGTGAATGGAGAGACCAGGTCTATCAAAAAAACAAAGGCATATTTTTCAGTAATGCATTTCGGAAATTTAAACAATTTTGCATGCAAGACTGAGCCTAGCTCTGTACATCCTTGCTTAAACATGTCTAGTTAGCTACTCTGACTCCAGAAGTGTCCAAAAGGTCTTAGAATCTCAAGCAATCACCTGGGAGTTTAAATATCTCTAGCATACTCTTCAGCTATCAGCACTTTTGGGGATAAAGGAGACGAAGATGACAAAGTACTTGAGCAAAAAATGGTTAAGCACTTTGAGGAAGAAAAATACAAACACAAACACCACACCCACTAAAAAAAAAGGAGAAGAGTAACTCAAGACAGGAGAAAGAGAGAATCATTCCACTGTAAAACTGGACATAGAGTCTGAAATGTACAGTTGACAAAGTCCTTCATGGAGAGTGCATTTGACATTCCCTTTTCATGACAAGTTGAAAGGCTCACATGCATTTTCTAATTAATTTTCTTATTAGAGGGTGCAAGAGAAGAAAACAGTGCTGTTCACAGTCAGTGTACTACAGTATGAGAAAAAAATGGTGAAAGATCAACTTATTTCATTTGCAAGATAAGTAAATAACAAAAAAGCAAAATATTTATTGTAATTGTCAAAGCATGAAGTGGGCAAGCAGACAAGTCTTTTTGGTCACTGACATTTCATAGGAAATAATGCCCCCAACAGACCTGCAAGCATTAGCTATCCCTCCATTACATCCTACTAAATGATCTTATTTCAGAACTTTCTTCCATTAAATACATGATACAACTGCACTGAAAAGACTTAAGTTAAAAGACTACTACAGTTACAAAGCTAAAATCTTATAAGTGAGCTGGAAAACCTGCCTTTAAAACTGCTCCTTTGTAATCCTCTCTGATGCAACCCAAAAACCATTAGCACTAGCAATCACATAACTACTTCTACAGTCCTATCCACATGGTAGCACATTACAGCTTATCCTTTCATTCCTGCAAATTTCCACTACTCCAGCTTCCATACAGTTTCTGTGTATCCACACTGATCTAGTGAGGGATGAGGTATAAAAACCTAGCTTTTCAGTGGCCCAGTGTCATACTTTCAACAGAAAGTAAGGGAAGTATGCAAGCTCCACTTGGGCTTCCCCTTTATATTTCACAAAAGTATATGCCTACCATTTTGGTTTTTAAATGAATGGTACACAATTATATGCCTTGAAATTACTTACTCATACATGAAGTAAATTACATATGGAAACTGAACTTTGTCTTACCTTAAATAAGCAAAGGAAATTTAAAAGAGACTTTATATTGTATTTATAGATTATTATTTTTTAAACATTATCTCCGAAAAAACCTAGGCTTGTTTTCCCAAGTGACAAGCTTGATTATTTCGATTTTTTTTTTATTGCCCTGAGGAAAAGAAATAAGAAGGTACTCTACTACATGTTCTATCAAGTTAACAATTTAAACCAAGGTGGTGGTATGATTCTGTATAGTTACTGGGTGCTTCAGCTTCTCAATGCGTGGGTGAAAAGTGCCCCTACTCATGGGTGGCATACAACTTCCTGCTGCTAAAACATAATAGTCAGTCACTATCCCAGATAATCACTTCCTTGCAGCAACTTGTGAAAAGAATGACAAAAAATTCCCTATTATACTATGCAATTACACCATTACCTTTGAAGAACAATAATTACAGCCAAGCCACTTTCTTTTACTCAAAAACAGGTTTTTTCCCCCGCCCCGCTTCTGAGTAATACTTTTATTCTAGTGCTTAGATAGATTTCATTGCTGGAGGAAAAAAAAAAAAAACAACCAGCACTTTTCCCTCTAATATGCGGCTTCTTAATGTAAAGTCAGATGTACTGATCCATGTAGCCCTCTCCTCTTTTTAGAGCTGCAGCCACAAGCAGATGCTCAAGGCAGGGTAAAAACAGACGAAGACAGTGAGCCCTGAAATTTCTCCTGGGAGAGTAAAGACAGCATATTCTCCCAGTTTTCAAGTATTTTCAACTTACAAAACTTTCTGAATTGCGCAGTGTTTATACATACTCAGCTACTCCGAAGGCACTGCTCTTTCAGCATCATGTTTAGTCCCTTTTTGAGTCCATCAGCAACTTTCAGCAGTCAGGTTGTCCTCTTGTGAGATTCCACATGTATATAGTCCACAGTGGATAGAAACCCCTCCCTACCTTTGCCTTGTCTTGGACTTGGATCCTACTAGTTCCCTTTCTGTCCCCTAACTACAGATTAGCTTGCAACAGATTTTTGTTGTCATAATATAATCCCCCAAAGACAATGTACTGCCATACTGTGTTCACAGTATCACATCACAGAAATCTCTTGGCAAAGAAAATTACTGCTTTGTCCGTACTCTCTGGCATATGCTACATCCATATGATTTGGCTTACATGTGACAATCTCTATTAAAAAACATCTGAACAAGTAATTTAATTTTTAATTTTAATACTGAACATTCTAAAGTAGTTTTGTGGTGATTGTGCTTTTTACCTGGACTTCAGGAGAAGTTCCATCTTGTGCCAAAGCCAAAAGAATGCTGACACTAGTTTTCAGATGCTGTCCAGAACCTATTCCACCAACATACCGATGGAGACAGCCCAGAGCCAAAGAATGGCCTGTTCTTGATACAACATCTCGAGCAGATTTTAACCTATCAATGTTTAAATAAAAGGAAATAATGTAATTCACTAAGTTTGTTACAAAGAACCCTTCAAGTACCATAACAGTGCAAATGACTAACAGAATTTTGCAGGCCATCTTCCAAGATCTTGAGAAGCCTGAACAACAAAAGCAGAATCTATTCTATATTGCTATTAAATCAGATTACATAAGGCAAGTGAAAAAAAAAAAGGTATTTTAAGAGTTATTTTCTCTCTCTGGTCAGAACTTGACATTTTAGATGAAGAAGAGTTTTGGAAATGAAAGAATATAGGAAAAGCATCTAGCGTTTACCAATACTTCACAGCAGGCTAATTTAATAATCAGAAAAGTCCTTGTTAGACCACTGACGTGACAAGAAATCAAGAGTGGAAAAATGACAACGCATTGAGAAATGACAAAGAAATCCACAGCTATGTCTTCCACTGCAAAATCAACTGGATAACTTTTTAATGCAGCTGTTTTCTTCTACAGCTGAGTTGTATGACTTTTCCAATAAAGCTTTTATTTTTTAAAATAGTGTTTTATTAATGAAACTAAACCAGAACGAATAGCATTCTGAGTGACCTAGTTGTATGAAGCAATGACTTGTTGAGTATTTTCCACAATACTTCTGCTTCTGAATGCGTATCACATATATAAGGTTTTAATTAAAACCTTTTCCGGGGTGGGGAAGGGAGAGAAAAGGATATCCTAATTAGAACAAAGAATTTTGGTTTTTTTCCTGGTTGTCTGTATATGAGAGGCAAACATGCTCTTAGCCATCAGTGAACAAAGTAAATGCAAATCTCAAATATAAAAAATTACTTGACAAGTGTCGATCGACTGGCAACTATTAACAACTTGAATCCTATAGAAGGAACCAAGGAAATAGTCCCCATTATAGAAATTCAAGGAAAGACAGTAAAGATTATGTACTTCATTACAAGATGAAATGATGGGAAAAACTGAATTACCCAGAGGTAGGAGAGCTGGACTGAGGCTATGTGCATGCAGCCTGACCAGTCAAAAACATGGGCTGCAGCCCCGAGGCAGGTGCATTTTCATTCACAGGTAGGCTGATGTCTTAAATTTAAGCCAAAAATTGTGAAACATATTGTCTTGTTATATCTCCCAGACATCTTTCTAAAAACCCAAGATTAAAAACAGAATACGGAAAAAAATTATGGGCCAGTAGATAAGTTAAATCAATATGGAAAGAGGATGTTTTGATGAAACAGAACCACTATCACACAATTCATATTACAGACATACTTAGTGTAAGCTGCTTTTATCTATTTGAAGCAGTAACTCATCAAAAACTACTCACTGGTATCATTTGACATTCCAAGTAGTTTAACAACTCAGCTTTTATTCCTGGAAGAATCACATGGAATAAATCAAAGAGAGAAGACTCTGTTTGAATGTTTGATAGATCTACATAATGGCAGCCATCAAGCATGAAGAGAAGAGAATAATCAATATGGTATTTAATAGAGGAATCTTCCAAACTACATTAGATTATATTTTTATTTCCTTTTCTGCAAAATGAACTTACTTATCAAAACTGTATTGAGCCATTCTAGCAATGAAAGAGGCTTCTCCAACCACTTGAGCCATTCTGCCAAGAGCTTCGCCTGCTGCACATCTCAAAATAGGGTTAGGATTATCAAGGGCACCCATTACCAGTGTCAGAGCAGATTTGCGGACTTCTTCTGGTCCTAATGTGCTTTTATTCTCAGCTAAACCCTACATTAAAAAAAAATATGAAAAACACATTCCAAAACAAGGGAGAACTATATAAGCAATTTTACTATATTCGAGATCTTCAACTAAAAATTATGTACTTTTACTTTTGTTTAAATTTGTGGTCATTTTTCCTAAAATATACTGGTTGAAAATATTTAAAATTCAAAATCTGCAACATACTCAGTCTTATGTTTGCCAACACTCTACCTATTTTACATACAGAAAGATCTGTTGCACCAATCTTTTTCATCAAATGCATTACAGTGCTACACTTACTTTAGCCCTACTGAATCTGAGCTAGCTTTACACAGGATACCCCGGAAAAAAAGAGAAGCTTTAAAATCTAACTGCAACATCTCTTCCTGTCAGACAGGAAAACCACAGCTCACTTACATTTCTGCAATAATCACTTAAATCAAAGACATTTTAGGTACATGAAAATACTTTTTTCTTAATAATCACATCTTCACCAACATTTATACAGCCTATTATATGAACATTCTACAGAACAGTAACAATAAACAGTGCTTCTGCAGCTTCTTTAGTTCCCATATTTCACTGATAGTACATCACCTTTCACTACAACTTTCAAGAAGTCTTTTTACATTGGGAAAAATAATTGAACACATGTAAAGTACAAATACTGCATGTATTACAGAGGAAGAAGTTGATGGCTCTACCACAGATTCTCATTTTCTGTTCTGAAATCCTCATTTCATCCTTACAATTTTGACAATTCTTTGGCCATTTGGCATGGCATGGAAAATTCCAGGGATGTGTCTCAGAATCTACTTTTCAACTTGTAGCAACATGGTTCACATTTCTAAGAACAAAGCAAGGGAGAGAGGTGCTGTTTTGCCAGTGTATTTTGCCCATCAACCAAGGACATGGAGCCTCGCTAACAACTAATGTAAACTAGGCAGTCGTTTATTGTATGGCAAAAGTAAGACACAAAGAAACTCATCCAATCTTTAACGACAGGCTGGCACTTCTATGCAGGTAGTTTCCTCAGTGCACAGGACTTAGTTGCTCTGAAGATGAGCAAGGATGACAATGACAGATGTTGTCCAGACTCATGAATTGGAAACTATTTAAAAAAGCATCCGGAAAAAAATAGAAATGCCTTAAGGAATTTGACAAGTAGAAAGAAAATCCTACACTCTCAGACAGTGTTCCACAGTGCTTGAGGCAATGCAAGTCACTGAAACCAAGTATTTCTCAGGAATGTTATTTGTGACTTGCTGTCTAGCTTCCTGACTTGATAGCAGGAGGTTGGATTTTCAAGTGTAGATAGAGAACACATGAGCTGTAACTGAAATCAGTGGGACTGGATGTAAGCATTTAGAATTCTATGCAAAATTAAGAAGAAAAAATTAAGACATACAAAGTGGAAACCCAAATCTATTTTTGTTTTTATTTCTGTTAGCCTCATCTGCACAATACTCTATGACATGAGGGGTTTTTTTATATATGTATATAAAAACATATATATATATGTTTTGTATATATGACAAAGTACTTAAATCCATGAGAACGGTCCAGATAAAACTACAGGATTGAAAAAGAAAAAAGACAAGTCTGAATACTATAGAATGCTGACTACATGAACCTCATCTATTATCTGTACTGATACATGCAGACAAGAGCTCACGCTAACACCTGAAAAAACTTCAATTTTGGAATTTTTAAACTTTCGAATGTTTAAGTAATGTTCTTCTAACAGCCTTTTGTATCAAACATAAATCGATGAATCAAACTGCTGAATTTTGGCATCCATTACAATTTTACAAGTTTTACCTTCAAGGCACTAAGAACAGCAGTAAAGATATTAAGCTGCACAGCTTGCTGGCGAACACCTTTAGCCTGCTTGACACATTCAGCAAAGTGATCCAACATCTGTAATCTAAAACAAGGGAAGAGCATTATGTAAGTGATATTCTTTCAAAATACAAATTAAAAAACAGCTGGTAAAAAAATGCATACAACAAAAGGGCCTTTTAAGTTCAGTCACACAATTTATGCTTCAGGGGCTGCAGAAAGTATTCAATTTAGATAGAAAGGGATTCTGAACATCACTTGCTGGTTCTTTTTACTCATTCACAAATGTTTACTATTCCTTTTGAAGAAGACACCACCAAGAGGAAGTGAGTTTTCAGATACATTGGCTGTATAACTACAAAGCTATGAGGACAAGACTGGAAGAATGCTGCCTCTCCACTACCACTCAAAGTAGTGTTACCTTCCATATTCCTATTATTGTTCCTATTGTTTTCCCCACTTAACCTCCATTTTTTCCCCTCATTTAACCATGCCAGAAAGTGTTCCTAGGAGGAAGAGTACTCCTTAGAAGATACCAAGAACAGGAGTATAATGAATAATCTGCATTCTTAACTACTCAGCAGTTCCCCAGACAAATCTTTTCATTGCTAACAACAGATATAGATCAAGTTGAATTACTGCAAGCTGGCCTCCAAGTGCATCCTGTGTTTACTGCAAAATGAGATAGACTGCCAGGAAAAACCTGTTCCCATCAGGATTGCACTGAAGCATAATCTTACTTTGAAATGTATGTTAGAGCTGCTTTCACTCTGCGCTCAGTGACAAATTAGCTAAATTGAATGACGTAAGTAGTCCTGACAACTCATAACTCTGCAGAGGTAATGTGGAACATAACAGAAAAAAAGTTGAATTCCATTCCCTCTTTTTCATCATGCATAAAATCATTTGTTGAGTATAATTCAAATGGTCTTATTCATGGAAGCCAAATGAAATTCAATGGATGCCACCGCTATGTTTTCAAGGCTGATTTGAAGTTAACTGCAATGGCTATTTTTTTCAGGAAATCTGGTTGCAGAGATATTACTACTGTTAAATGCAGTAAGAGGAGAGAAGAATCCAGCCTCCACCTCTGAACCCCAATCTTCAAAATTGATAAAACTGAGGAAATCACCGTATTTCTAAACTGAATAGACATATTTCGGAATCCTGAGACACAACGAATACCCAATAATGAACTCTGAATTCAAGGACAGCTGACACCAAAGTAGATTCTTATTTCAAGGGAAAAAAACATAACATAATACCGTCCAGAGAACAAGGCATTAGATTCTGAAATTGAACACGAGTGTAAACTGACCTATGTTTGTAAGAGACATGAGGAAAAACCACACCAAAGAGAGCCACAGATGCATCGATGACAGATACTCCTAAAGGAAGAGGACCAGGTACAGCTTCACCAGCAGGGATGCGCAAATAAATAGAAGATGGATCATGTTCCAAAGCACCACTTCCAGATGCACTGTTTGGCTGAAGCTGCAAAAAGCCACATAATTTGAATACCTCTGAATATACCTTTCCACAAAAAATCTGGAAATAATGATAACCAAAACAAATATGCAGTAGCTTAGAACAACAAAATAGCTTACAAACACCTCAATGCAACTGCATTTACAGGGCCAGCTAAATCCCAGAGGGTCGAAGCAATTAATAGCTGGATAAATGCACAAATTATCACTCCTGGTCGTAAGAGATGGAACTTAGAGAAAAGCAGATTAATTCTGGTACTAATAGTAGCTTCTGAATCACTGAATCACTACAAAGTGACATTTCAGAAAAAAGGTTATTTATTCACACTCTGTTTGAGCACTGAGTTACAATACAGTATATTAAATTATAATTTTTGGTTCCCTACACAGAAAGATTTAGAAACAGTACTAAAATTACTAACATTCCTATAATGAAAACACTTCCTAATCACCATTCTTTCAGGAAACACAATTAAACAATCTGTTTTCTCTGACGAAAAACTTATTTCATAACTTGTTAATTATTTAATCATGAAACAAAATTAGAACCTAGTAGCTCTATATTCTTCTTACAAGATCAGACAACAGAGAAAACATTTGTTGAGACCTCGATATCATTAAAAAAATAAAATGCGACCGAGCACAAGAGAATCCTCTGATGCACTACTGGGCTTCAGTTACCAACAGTGACACAGGTTTAGAGGTTATATATATATATATAAAAAAAACCAAACCAAAGCAAAACAAAAAAAACCACAAAAAAAAAAAGGAAGGGGGGGCATCCCAGAAAACTTTGTGGATTGAAGACTGCACTGGAAGTCTACTATGTCCCACAACAAATAAGTGAAGTTTGTAAAACCTTTTTTTCATTTTGACATGCTGATCTTTCCTCAGAAACAGTTCCCCCTTGGTTTCTCACACTTGGTATCAGTCTTGGCTTTTGATCTGCTCAGTCAACACAGCTACCTTCTGAGAAACCTTGCCATTATTAGATAGGCTGTGGCAGAAGAGGCGTTTTCAGCTCCCCGCTTCTTCTTACCCCAAGAAATTTCTGAGAAGCTGAGTTACAGAGTTTATGATTGGCACAGTTCTGCAAATGCTCAGACAGTTACCTGGCTAGGAAATACAGTTCATTGAGAAATCAAAGATCAGAGCAGAGTTATGAAGACAGAGACAGGTTGGTGGGTATACTCAGATGGACAACTGATTTTTCTCGATGTCATCAAATCCAGAAATATATCTGAGGGTAAAAGGCTTGAAAAGAGGAGGCCAGCCCCTTCATAGTCATCACAAATTAGGAAAGCAGAAAGGCTGCTATTACTAGACTGTCTCCTGAACTATTTAACATTAACAAATTGTTCCCTATGCTACATTTCTTCTCCAAGGACCACATGAAAAACAACTGGATCAACATTACCAGTTGATCTGAAAAATTTTATTAAAAGACCACCACAGCAATACTTGCTTCCTTTTTTAAATTTTTTAATTTCTATGTTTCAAAGATTCACTTTTTTTAGAAGTGCAGCAAATTCCTTATAGTACCAACAAAATTGTGTCAACACTTCTAAATGAAATCTAAGAAATACTACACCTATAAAATAAGTTAAATCTTGTTTTGCTATACTGATATTTTGACAACAGTGTCATTATAAAACATGTTAAGTGGAACTTACATTTCTCCTGGTTGAAAAAAATGTATGAGAACAGCTGCTACACTAGAATGATCAGGGATGGGGGACAAGGCGGGATGGGAGTGTTGTTTTGTTTTAAAGAAGTTAGGCTAGTTCACTAACCACAAGCATATAAAGTGCATAGCCCTAGCCATTTCTGAGCTGTGGGCAGTTTTTAATCAAAACGGTACACTGTAGGTGGAAGGACTTAAACCTAACAAACCTCTGAAGTAAGACTAAAAACAAGGCATAAGGCTTCAGTTGTAGAAGGCTTTCCCCACACACACATTACACAGACAGTGCAGATAAAAAAAACAGAAAAATAACAAATTATTACCTGGTCTTCAATTGATTTATGATCCGTTTCCTGCAGCCACGAGCCAAGAAGAACACTATCATCATAATGACAGAGAGACCTTAGGAGTGATGTTGTTGTATTAGCAGAGTTGTCAGTCAAAGTAAATTCTGCTACCAACTCTCGAAGAAGTGCATTAAATGATCCTAAAAGGACAGACATTAAAAAGAATCATTGCTGCTTCTCATCCAAGACATTTCAGCTAGAGATCAGAAGTCACAAATCAAAGCATGTACCATTACCTCAATTTTACAGGTAGCAAACAGACAGAGAAGTAAACCTGACCAGACTGGAGTTGAGAGCAAGGCTTTAAACAGAACTCTGGGCTCCCAATTCCCAAATCAATGTTCTAAGCAACAGAACAGGCCATCCCTTCTCAGGATGACACTCCAGATTTTGAAAAAATTTGCTCATTCACATGATCATGTAAATTTAATGAATTAACAAAAAACAAACAAAAACCAAAAAGTTAATTGGTCAGATTATGTGACTGTGCATGGCGATTTAATAATAATAGGATAAATCTGTCTAATATATCAAATCAGGTAAAAAAAAGACACCACCAGAAACCAAAACTAAATCTTCATTCTCACATCTGCCCTTTGAATACACTAAGAAATTATGTTCTCTATCTTTTAATTAACAATGACATAAACCACCAAAATTGCATTTCAGAACATGATCTCCATACCTCTCAATCCTATAAACAGGACTGTAACTTTTATAGTCTGTAATATTTTGCAATATTCTACTTGGTAGTTATACTGTCAAGATGACATACAAAAGATGAGGAATATACTACAAGACTCTTGAAGATTCCTAGTACTCTACTTTGAATCTTGTATCTGTTTCAAAGGCAAGCACCAAAAATATACCAAAAGGAGTAAGTGGAATTTTTACTTTAATAAAAATTGTTAAAAATTTATGTACCTTCATATGTTTTTGGAGGTAATAAAGCCAATATATCATAAAGTCTTAAACGGACCATAGCTGCACTAGCTTTGAGATGAGCTCCATGGGCTTTAATTACTGATGGAATGCTATAGAATCAAGAGAGAAAAAGAGACAGCCAGACATACTGCAGTTAATGAACAGAGTATTTTTGGATATATCCCTTGCTTTTCACAAGGTATCTGTCTAGCCAAGACAAGATGACAGTGTTTCAGAGGTCTACTCAGAGCAGCATTACTCAAATTACCAATACATTCTCAGACGTAATTGTACTGAGCAAACTTTATCTTTTTTTTAAATGCACACTGCTGTAAATCAGTGACATGTACCTCCTCAGAAGAAACTCCTATCTTTAATCAAGGGGGAAGGGACCAAACCATAAAATCCAACCCAAAACTGTGTTTTTTCTTTTATTCTGTAAAATGTTTAAAGTCTTCATTAGTATATTTCGTAAGAGAAGTGTTTTATTGATTAACATCTAATATATCAGTATCTTGGCTTTCTTATTTCTTGCACAAGCGTAAGCAAACCATGAATTCAAAAGCTCACTGAACTGGTAATCCAAAACACAATTAACGAAAGTTACGACAGTAAGCCCTTCAGCACAGGCTACGCAACAATATGCTTTTACAAAGCTAAGGACCATAAGTACAATGCTCGAAAAGTTTTTTTCAACACAGACAAGCAGCAACAGAGCAGTACTAGATCAGAATATGAATTAAAACAAATGTTCCACTATTTCAGGTCCAGGAAAAGACAAAAGTGAATAAAGAGCAAAAGCTGCCTACTTACTGCGACATCATTGTCATGGCACATTCTATGGGTGTCATCAATTTTCTGATCACATCCTCAGTAAGGAGCTCAGGACAATGAGCAACAAAACTTCTCATAGCTAGTAACAAAATAGTTTAAATTAAAATTTTAGTGAGACAAACGAATATAAAGCCTATGCAAGATACAGGTCCTAAGAGAACATCAAATAGCAAAAATGTTTATTGAAAGACTGTGTGACGTTCATAAAGCTATAAGCCAAAACCAGGCCACATTGATGAAAATCTGACACATCCTATTCATTTTCAAAGAAAGCAGGGAAGTTACGAGAGTTGTCTCTATAATACTTGGGATCACGTTTTGGTTTACTGCGCACTTACAATCTTGAATTTTGAAATTCTTACCGCACAGAGCTCCAGCACGGCCTTCCAGTGTTACTTGCCAGGTAAAAGAATCTCCTCTCACCTTCTCTGCTTCCAACTCCTTCAGAGAACGTGGAAACACGTTTCGCCACAGCAGCAACATCTTAGGCAGATGATACCGAACAACAGAAGGACCTATGCAAAAAAAAAGAAGAGACAGTATAATAAAAACTTGTATTTAATTAAGCATGAAAAATCTGCCATAAAGGCTTTTGCTCTTTAAGCTATTTTTCTCTTACTTCACTTATCTTCCTTATCTCTCTACTTGAACAACGGAACACAAAGGAAATTCTCTCATTTCCAGGTTGAAAGTCTCGCAAATAAATAGTATAGGTAAGTCTGTCTGTTGATACCAGTACTAAACATAGGTGATAGGCAATTCTACGCATTATCATGTAATATGTAACCACTGCCAACTCTTTTTACCATCTTTTCATTCTGACTTCTAATTTTTTTTATATTACTATTTTGGAGGCAAGCTATCCTAACTTGTTCATAAAATGAGTAGAAAAATAACTGACAGTTACTGATTATGCAACTAGTTTAATGCTCAAGTTTAAAGAAAACTTCAAAAAAAGCCCCAGAAGATCCAGTGCAAGTGCATTAAAAATATACTGGAGAAAAGACAACCAGAATAGTGCTACACTGTTACAAAAAACATGACAAATCAGCTGGCAAAAAAGGGACAATTTAGAGAAGCAAGATGAAACACTAAACAGTATTTGCTGAGAGATCGAAATACTGCAGAATGCATCAGAACTTTATCATATTTTCCACATAAAAAAATCCCAAACGAAAAAAACCAGACAAAAACCAAAGCAAACACTATTGTTGCAAAACTCAAGAGTATACTTACAACCTCTCAAAATATAGCTTCTGGTATTTCTGTAATGGCGGATATGAACATGAGGCTGGCAACTCAGACAACTGAATGACTTTTAAACTGGCAACGTTTCTCATCAGTAATCAGTACTGCTGCCCATCCCAGAGGCACACATACAACTTGTTGGAATTTTTTTTAGGTAAGACACCTTCTACTATCCTTCAGCTTACATAAACACTAATATTTCCTTTCTCCACAGCATAAACAACACTGCTGAAATAAATGCACTAACACTCTGATTCCCTTGGTATGCTAGATACTAGACTGATTATATGTAGAGATCATTTGCCCCAGTGGAAAATCAGAAAAGTTGGACAAGCATTAAAACAAAAAACAACTGTTTTTTACAAACCTAAAGTCATAAGTGCTCCAAGTAAAAGCCACCCAGCTTGAGTCCGCTGCAAGGAGAGTCTGCTGTTTTGTGCAGCAGTTCGTAGCAGATCCTCAGCAATACTGACCACCATCTGCACCAATGACAAAAACCAATGGATTTTAAAAATACAAATTAAGCCACTGCAAGCTATTGCTACACATCAACACTTACAGACTATATTTAAAAATATTCTCAAATCATTTAAATTGACATTCTATAAAGAATGAATGCAGATAACTTTTAATGCAGATGATTACTATTAGGTATGTGACAATACAGACAATAATATTCTCTTCAGCAATTATTCATTAATATGCCAAACAAGAATGCAAATTTCAAAGAGAGAGGGGAAAAAGCTGGTAAATATTGCGAGTGAAATACTGTAAGCACACACTCTGGCCATTGCTCTCTTGCTAGGCACAAGTTCAATTTCAATAAAATCGTTACCATGTCACATTTTGCAAAGGTATTACTTCTAGACAAAAAGGTATCTTTTAGTACACTCACGGATGAAACACTCATTATCTCACCTTTCCTTTGGCATGAGGAATACCTAAGGGACACTGATGCACACCACCTAACAAAGCAGCCATTGCAAAACTGTAGCCACTAACAGCTTCAGGGGAAGTCTTCAGATTGTTGAGCCTTTCTGCACATCTATCTAAAAATGGAGTCAACTGAAAAGGCAATGCCACAGCTACACACCGCAAGCACCACGCAGCAGCAAGTCGAGCAGCCATGCTGGGATGAAGAAGAACTGAAGTTACTGTCTCCAACAGACCTAGAGAAAAGACAGGTTACAGTCTTAAAGTTATGATGTGTTTTTAAATATATGTAGACAAGTAAACTGAATCAATATTAGACAAGCAACATCAAAGTTAAGAATGTTAGAATTAAAGTACTTGCATTTTATGACTTTGCCTTTTTCTTTAAGGAAAGGCAGACGTCTTATTAGCATTATCCTGCTGCACACCAGGTTTTACCAGCATAGCTAGAGCTGAAAGAGCTATAGCACTGACTTCTACTACTTGAACAACTGAAAAAATGCAGTAACCCTAAGGAAACAGGCACTGGATGAGATGATTCCTAGAATCTGCCCATCTTTTACACAGACTGACAATAACAGAGCAACACTAAAACTGATTTTTGGTTTTGTTTCACACTGTAGACAAGCACATGTTATAGATGTCACTGGCTGCTGTACTCTGCTTTTGACACAGTGTTATCTCCCGTGCGCTGTTACTATCCTTCTACACTTTCCAAACCTCCATGCCTAGCTAACCTTGACTTCTGTGAGCTCTTCAGTCCAAACCGTCTCCACACCAACACCTTCCTTAGTCTAGACCTCTAACTTTACAAACTCCTACTTCAAAGCCCCCGCTGCTGCCTTATCTCATGCTTTCTTTGTAGCTAGTAAACAACTTCTACATTGTTACTTTATAGCAGCTAGCAGAGACAACACTGAGATACAGTCCCCTCTATTCTTAGAAGGCACAGCAGGCAGAAGGAATAAATATGAGCAGTGTCTTCCTCACCCCACAGCTAGAGCAAAATCAGTATGAGAAGAATGTCATTTGCATCAAGACAACAATCTAAATAACGAAATGCCTAAAGGAGCTTGCACTTCCATTGGAAAAAACACAGGCATCCACAAACTGAAAACACTGGAAACTGCAACACTACAGTACAAACGTGAATACAAATGTCAAAACAAACAAGAAAATCCCACACAAACTCCAGTCAACTTAAGCCAAATAACAAGCTTTTTAAAATGGGACTATGCACACCTTCATCTTCTGAAAAAATACCCTTACCTTCCCCACAAAAATTTGGTTTCTGAAGACAACGCAGCTTTCCAGGAGCAAATATTGCTGACCTTACATTGTTTTGCTATATATTTCCTATAAAACTGTTACTGGAAACAAACTGATGCTAAAAATCACTTTATAACTTTACTCATCCTAAAAAACAACTTCACTTTGATCAAAATAATTGCTTAATACTTTGTCAAACTTGAACTAAAGTTAGGGTACTAAATGCAATGAGCTGGACAAACTTAGCTACCTGGAGTACTACTGGGAGTGCCAGTTTTGTTAAATTTTTTCTTACATATTCAATAATTATTTAACTAGATTTAATGATATTTCATATTCATTGCTCAAAAGACTCATTTAATCTATTAAATTTATTTGCGTACCAATGGAAGGTTCTTGAATAAGAGGAGATGCAGTGGCATTCAGACTCTGAACCAGACTACCCAGTTCCTGGAGGGCACAAACCATTACGTGCTGGCTTGCAGCTACATCAGCAGCTCCAGATTTGTTTTCACTGTTAGCATCATTCACTACTGCTTCTGCAGAAAACAAAACAAAAGTATCTTGCTTAACCATTTGAGTCACACCTGAACATATAGAGGGTAGAAATGGACAGTTTTGACATCAACTCTATATTAAAACAAAACCACACAAGTTTGGTCATAGTGTGAACTCACAAAGCAAATGCATTCTGAGGAGAACTAGTTTAACAGCTATCAGTCAAACACATTCATGCAAAGACCATGAAAAACAGATGCCCAGGATGTGGCTGACTTTCTGGGCTGCAAGCACACCTTGCCAGGTCATGTTGAGCTTTTCATCAACCAACACCCCCACGTTCTTCTCAGCAGGGCTGTTCTCCATCTATTCTCCACCCAGCCTCTATTTGTGCTTGAGATTGCCCTGACCCACGTGCAGGACCTTGCACTTGGCCTTGTTAAACTGCATGAGGTTCGCATGGGCCCACTTCTCAAGCCTGTCAAGGTCCCTCTGGATGGCATCCCTTCACTCCAGTGTGTCGACCGCACCACACAGCTTCGTGTCATTGGCAAACTTGCTGAGAGTACACTCAATCCCACTGTCCGTGTCACCAACAAAGATGTTAAACAGCACCAGTCCCAACACCCTGAGGGTCCAATTCCCTGAGGGATGCCACTTGTCACTGGTCTCCACCTGGACATCAAGCCATTGACCACAACTCTTTGAGTGCCACCATCCAGCTAATTCCTTATCCACCAAGTGGTCCGTCTGTCAAATCCATGTCTCTCCAATTTAGAGACAAGGATGCCGTGCAGGACAGCGTCAAATGCTTTGCACAAGCCCAAGGAGATGATGTCAGTTGCTCTTCCCTTATCCACCAACACTGTAACCCCATTGTAGAAGGCCACAAAATTTGCCAAGCATGGTTAGCCCTTAGTAAATCCATGCTGGCTGCCACGGACCACCTCCTTCTTTTCCATGTACCTTTGCATAGTTTCCAGAAGGATCTGTTCCATGATCTTGCCAGGCACAAAGGTGAGACTGGTTGGCCTGTAGTTCCCCAGGTCTTCCTTTTTTCCCTTTTTAAAAATAGGGGTTATGTTTCCCCTTCTCCAGCCAGTGGGAACTTCACCAGACTGCCACAACTTCTCAAATATGACAGATGGTGGCTTAGCAACTTCCTCCACCAGTTCCCTCAGGACCTGCAGACGCATCTCATCGGGTCCCATGGACTTGTGCACCTTCAGGTCCCTTGGATGGTCTCAAACTTGATCTTCTCCTACAGTGGGCAGTTCTTCATTCTCCCAGTCCTTGCCTTTGCCTTCTGCAACTTGGGCGGTGTCGCTTAAGCACTTGACAGTGAAGATCGAGGCAAAAAAAGTCACTGAGTACCTCAGCCTTCTCTGTATCCTGAGTAACCAGGTCTCCCATTTCCTTTTGGAGAGGGCCCACATTTTCCCTAGTCTTCCTTTTATCACTTAGGTACCTACAGAAACTTTTCTTGTGGCCCCTGACGTCCCTGGCCAGACGTAACTCTATCGGGGCTTTACCTTTCCTAACCTGATCCCTGGCTGCTCAGACAATTTATCTGTATTCCTCCCAGGCTACCTGTCCTTGATCCCACCCTCTGTAGGCTTCCTTTTTGTGTTTGAGTTTGTCCAGGAGCTCCTTGTTCATCCATGCAGGCCTCCTGGTGTTTTTGCTTGACTTCCTCTTCATTGGGATGCATCGCTTCTGAGCTTGAAGGAGATGATCCTTGAATATCAACCAACTTTCTTGGGCCCCTCTTCCCTCCAGGGATTTATACCTTGTTACTCTAACAAGCAGAAGAGGCCAAATCTGCTCTCCTGAAGTCCAGAGTAGTGAGCTTGCTGTGCACCCTCCTCAGTGCCTTAAGGATCTTAAACACCACCATTTCCTGGCCATTGCAGCCAAGGCTGTCCTTGAGCTCCACATTCCCTGCCAGACCCTCCTTGTTGGTGAGAACAAGGTCCAGCATAGCACTTCTCCTCGGCTCCTCTATCACTTGGAGAAGTAAGTTATCATGAACACATTTCAGGAACCTCCTGGATTGCTTATGCCCTGCTGTGCTGTCTCTCCAACAGGTATCACTGGGGTGGCTGAAGTCCCCCATGAGGACCAGGGCTTGTGAAGATGAGGCTGCTCCTCTCTGTCTATGGAGGACTTCATTCGCTCAGTCTTCCTGGTGGGGTGGCCTGTAGCAGACCCCCACTATAATGTCACCTCTGCTTGCCCTCCCTTTAATCCTGACCCATAAGTTTAAAGTACTGTTTAACTCAAATTAGATGGCAGCAGAAAAGCAGAAGAAACAGATGTTTGGTAAATGCATTGCTGTGCAGTTCCAGTTTACTTTCTCAATGTCTAGCTCGAATTAACTCCTTTCATAAGAAACAAATGCCAACACAGTTTTGTGTGTATCTCAGTGATTACACAGTCTGCAAGGTTCTGCAAAAGAGCTACTTTTATCTTCTCTAATTCCAGTCTTCATATTACATCCTTATTTGTTACCTCTAAAATCCAATTGGGTATCAGTATGGATATTAGTGGGGGATGCACAAGGACCTACAAGATCCTGACCTACAAGATCTTCAACACTGGTAGTAAAGAACTCTGTGCGACTTTTAGTATGACCTATCCCAAGACAGATTGCAAATGCACACTTTTTTCCCCACTTCCACTCTACGCAAATGCAATGTCAAAAGCCATCATAGGATAACAAGCTAGTTTTACACAATCACTTTTCAAGTAGAACTTACATTTTGGATATTGTATTTCAAACAGAAGCCAGCTGAATTATCTTTTAGCATAACAACAAAATTACTCCTCACAGTAGAAGCAAGCTGAAAAATGGCTGACCCAGAATAATGACAGTAACTTTCAACAGGTCTCAAATAAAGAAAAATGATTCTCACCCACTGCCTTCATTTGTTTACCAATGGCTTGACATATATCTTTGGCAGCTGCTATCTGTGCTTTCTCCCCAAGCAAGCTGCCCACAGTTGCTCTCAGGATAAAGGACACACATCTTCGAGAGTAAACTGCCTCCACATGGGTCTGAGTTGCACGAGGATGGGAGACCAGATCAAGTACATGCGACAAAAACGTAGCGAAGTTCCGCTCCAACCACTGACCTCCTAATGTTGTAACAAAGACAACGTAGGCCTGCAAATTCAGAAGTTACATACAGATCCAATTAAAACAGAAATGAAAGACTATATTCAGTCACCAAAGACTAAAGACTACAGTTATGCTCATGCATGATGCAGCACAGTAGCAACACCAGCTAGTAATAAGTAACCCTAATGAGGCTAAGCAGGATGAATCAATCCATTAGCCACGTCTTTTTTGTTGAAGCAAACCTGTTTCCAGTGCCAAAAGTAGCTCCTATGCTGTTACCTATACTATGAAGTGTAAACTACTGTTTGGATGACAGCAAGAAAACCCAGTGCCTTGCTCTAAATGTGTCTCTTTTTTTAAAATTTTAAGAACATAATGTCAATAACAGCAGCAACATCAATGTGTTCTTAATTCACAAGGAAGACCAGGCATTTTTGCCAAGTTCACCTGAAAAAGACTGAGAAAAATAAAAGGGTTTCACAAAATACCCTATGATCAAAAAAATTTGGACTCTGGAAAGTTACTGCAGCTTAGTGAAATATATGTCAGAGTGAGAATGCCTGAATTTGAAGAGATGCTGCCACCTTTCTCTATCAGACAGGTGGAGCTTCCACATTCAGCAGATTTCACCTACTCAAGAGAGACATATGGAGAGAAGGAACAAATCAGGGCAGCAAACTTTATCCAACAACCGAAAAGAGAGCCAGCACACACAAAAATGACAAAAGTGCATCCTCTCCAAAAAGAAATAAAATTTAAATAGGGAGCTAAAGTCTTTAATATATTAAGTTGTCAAATATTTTTGTGAGCTAATCCTACTGATCAAATAAGCTTTCATTAGCACATATTTTAATCTATTGTTATTGCACATCAGTAATAAAAGAAAGTAGCTTAGGTGAGTAACATTCACATACACATCTCTCAGAATAGGTGAGTCAAACCAGGCTTGTAAACAAATAAAGAACGCAAGTGTGTATTTTTCCTACTAAAAAGATTACAGTTATATATAAATAGTACTTTATTAAAAAAAAAAAAAATCACAAACCTGGGTAACACCAACTCGCACTTCCCTATTGACAGATCCTCCTACTTTTAACATCTCTCCACCACTCTTCAGGAAACCAGATCCTCCTCGCAGAAATCCAGTGGCCATGAGCTCCAAGACCTCCTCAAGTGTGGCTCTCTTCACATTCTGTCGCATCACTTTTGCAAAAGAAGAGTAATCATTTAATCCCCAAGTTCCAACCAATACAAACAATCATCCTGCAACTAGATTTATCCATTGGAAACTGTCTTACAAACATAAATCCAGCTAACAGATAACAGCTTGTTTTCATGCTTAAAAAATAAGCTACTTTTCCCAGGTGATTTTTGATAGTTTGCTCTCTCTTTCTTTGTATGATTACAACAGGCAATCTGCACTCTTTACTCTTTTCAGGTTAGAGTTTATGAAACCAAACAACCCAACTGCAAGCTTCCATCTACCAGAACAATAATGTATTGTGCAAGGCCGTCACGTAACATGGTGCTGAAGGTGCAGTTTGTCCCTTGGAAATGGAATCCAGAAGGACTGTACCTGTTGCTTGTTTTGGTATCAGTGCTGTAGCCATGACTGTCCCCAAAAGCTTTGACACTGCAACTCGCACACCATAGTTTGAGTTTTCCAGAGCTTTAAAGCACAGTGTTGCAACATTCTCTAGTTCAGCTGTCCACATAAACACTGCTTCATTCTGTAATTCCAGCAGACACTGTAAGAAAAAAGAGACTTGCTGAGCACCGATGGGAGACCATTCTTATCTTCTAAGTATCAGTGTAATTGTCAGGTTTATTCAGCAAATATTTTATTACGAACTGGTGAGAAACACACCCACCTTAGCCACCGCACATCGTACAGCCATAGATCTGTCCGTCAACAGAGATCGGGCATTCTTATAAATATCACGGTGACAAGAAGCTGCTGCTCCTCCAAGTCCATTTAGGACTTTCTGTAAACTCATCAGAATTTCACTGCGGCCCTGAGACTGCACACAAAGAAAAAAAATTTATGCAAAAATGTGGAAACAGTACTTAAGAGCAAGGTACATAATTCTGCATTTTCCTGCTTCTGTGCAGGAATACTTTTGGAAACGTTGATAATATAGTTCACTGAAGTCATATACAACTGATACCTAGCTGGTTTTAGACAGCAGTAAGCACTATACACAGCTTTACTAAAACTGCCTCAGTTGTCATGTAAATTTAGGTGAGCCCAGGCAATCCAACACATTTGCCCTAGACCAGATAGTTCTGTCCTGCCCCACCATTTATCTTCTACAGCCTTGAGAAAAAAGAAAAAACAGTTGATACAAGAGAATATGAAGCCCAGGTAGTCAACAGCTTCCTACTATACCTGCACACAGGCAGGAATTTACAGTTGGAGGGCACAGAAAAAAAAAGAAGGAAAAAAAAAAAATCGCACATGTATGACAACACAGATGAAGAAAACAGCTGCCAGGACAAGACCCAGACAATCCCTCACACAAGTTGGAAGTACTCGTTCCAACTTGTCATTGATGTCAAGAAAGAGAAAAAAAACAACCAACCAAACACCAAAACAAAACAAAACAACCCCAAACCAGACAAAAACCCAACAGAGCTATTTGCATTGAATTAGACCCACAAACAGCCCAGGACACATCCTCTCAATATTATGATACACTCTGTCTTTTCAGGGCACAACATATCCTGCTCACATGCCAAATAACATGTTTGTTGCAAACCTTAAGTATTTGTTATTCATTCTTAAACAACTGAATGTTTATTCAAGGTACACCAGCAGAAATCCTAACACAGTAGTTAGAAAACCACTTTACAATTTTCATTATTGGTGCCACTATGAAGCAACTACGACAGTATTCATATGACAAAACTCTATGCTCTCTGCAGGAAAAATACATGCACATGTTTAACTCGATACTAAGTGATTTGCATTTTTCTACATAGAAAGCAAACAATTCAGGCATTTTGGCAAACACCTTCGGCAGAAGCACGTTTCAGTTTAAATGGAATCAAGACCACATATATAAAATAATCTGAAACTTACCTCTGCACTTTTCAGAGACTTTAAAAGATTATTCACTGTTTCCGGAAAAGAACTACCCAGCATTCTGCCCATCTTTTCATAAAATGCTCCAACACATGCCACAGCAGCCCTATGAAAAAAGGCATGAAATCGGTGTACTCTTTTTTCTGTATCATCTAAATGAAGACAAATATTTAAATAGAAATATGTTTTATGTAATCATCGATGAATAAAAAACTATTTATTATCCACTAGTTATCCTGGCTGTTTAACACAGTGCATTTAAATCACTTTTTTGTTTACAAAAACAAAGTAACAGAAAAGTTATTTGCTTCTAAGAACATAAATGTAAAGGATATTATTACAGGATCTATACATACAGTGAGAAATTCTGGAGAAGATAAGTATATGTTGAAATCTCAGCTAGAATAGGGTTCTGTATTTCAAGAAACTGTCTCTTTTCCAAGCACCTACAAGACAACTCCTACCCTTTAATACCTCCTAACACTTTTTTTTATGGATACTGAGGTGTTTTGTTTTTTCTCCCCACACACCTTAAAATGCATAAATTATTGCATAACACAAGAAAATTTCTAGGCACTGTAAAAATCACTGGATCCATAAACAGTTACATACATGTTTTCCTTGCCCTGACATTTGAGATGAGGAATATCTTAAGTAACACCATACTGCAGTTTTACACCAAATTGCTTCAGTACAGTCACAGACGCAGCTCCTGAAAACATGCATTTCTTCATCACAAAGGAACGAGGCTTTTTTAAAACCTGAAATTCTTGGGTAAATGACTTTTTAGCAAAGCTATTTGCTACAAACTCATTACAGCCTACCCCTTAACAGGCATGTCTCCTACACAATTCTTCTACAGAAACATTAAAAACTGAAGTTTGAAATCATACAGTAAAAAGCCTTCTGGACTCCCACATGAGGCGGCAGCATAAATTTCAGAGCATGTTATAGTACAAAACCCTTCCCACTTACACAGGTTCCCCACAAAGTTGCAACAGCTTCAAATAAAATACTGTCAAAAGGACAATATCTGCCCAAACTATTTCAGATTTTATTGTTAAATCCGATTGTTAGAACATCTGAAGGAAAGCCCAAATTTGGGTTCACTAGACACTGCAAACAGATGAAGCAGTATGTGTGGAAGAGTCCTAGAAGCAGTTTCAGCAGATGCTGTTTGCAGCATTTACCAAATTCCTACCAGTGAGACTGCTTCTATATATAAAGACAAACTGGATCACACATAATGCACACAAACATCCAAGTATATAGACTCTGAGAAACCTGTGCGGGGTATCACAGTAGAAGAATATACAGGCAATGCTTGAACAGAAAAAAAAAAAACTTGAACATTTGGTTAAAATTCTCTTGGCATAGATAATGCTCGTTTGACAATCTGCAGGTTCCATCTTAAATGGGGTACCTGAGCACAGTCAGCAATAATCCCACCAGTGGAATTTCTTCACTGCATTACTTCATCAACCGTTATCCTCTCCATGACATAAGTGTGCAAAGAAACCTAAGATACTCCCTTGCCTAGAAGAAAGCATCTCACTTGGGAGATAGCCATGTATGCATCACCTTTGAGTCCTGCCCTCCACAATCTCAATCTTGCTCTTTTCTCTGCTATATCAAGCATGTGTAAACTCCAACTAAGCATGAAAAATATAAGTAAACATAACATGTAAATATACAGGCAGATTCTTCTGTAATATTCAGGACCACTTTGCTTAAAAATCATTCCATTTTTTGTAATAATATTAAACATACAGTTTCGTGGGCAGGTAGGCTGCAGTATCATCTTTGCTCTTGATGATGTCATTACATTTGTCAAGCGTCTGAAAAACAGTAAATGTGTCTCCAATGCTGTAGAGAGCGGCAAGATTTTTTGCCAGTAGTTTTCGCGTAGGTGGCCCAGGAGAACTGCTGATGAGTCCTGTCAGCTGTTCTACTAGTTTCTTTTGTTTCTCCTTGACATCTGTCTGTTAGGGGACCAAAAATAAATAAAATAAGAATAGTAATTTAATCCTGTGTCTTGCATCCAACACCCACAAAAACCTACAAGAGTGAAGTAAATCTTACACCACTCCCACTTGTAGGTAATTCAGCAAATTACTTGACTCACAGAGTCTTGAGATGCATTCAATACTAGCAGAGACAAATGTTAAATATTCAGAATTAGCTGTTAACCTATTTAATTTTCACTTTTTAAAAATACTTACTAAAAACACAGTAATACCTGCCTAGAGCATCTTTTAATCCTCTTTCCCCCCCAAGAATCCCTACTCTGCAAGGGAAGGTTCTGCTGTCCAAATATTTACAACAGCGGAGAACTCAAACCAAGCTATGTGTTATATAACAGTGATACTGACCACCTACAATTGAATACTTAAAAGCTAAAAACTACTACAGAGGCTCTTCAGGTTGAATCTGAAATCATACAGTTATCACCTGGCTGTTACCTGCCAACTTTCTCTAGCATGAAATGAATACAAATGTTTTTGAGAGAAGGGGGAAAAAATATTAAATTACCTTGTTAGCAGCTACCAGCACTTTATCCAAAAATCTTAACCACTCAAAGATAAAGACTGGTCTCTTTGCTTCTGTGATTTGAGCTAATGCTTCCTCGTTCAGTAACAAACTATGAGCCAGCTCCATAACTGGTTAAATTCTGGTTTTATTGTAAACATGTGTAGCAACTCTAAAATAAAAATGTAAGTGTTAGTGTGAAGTATACAACAGTACAAAGCTTTGAAAGTCAAATGAAAATATGAAGATGAAATCTATACATTACAGTATCATGGATCCAGCCTGCTTATGCTTGTCTTAGCTAAGCAGGCTCACGTATTTACAAAAGTACATCCATTAGTATTTCAGGAAACAGAGTTGTTAATCGTAAAAGGAGCACCTACAGGCAACTTCAGGGTGCTAGAAAAATATACTGAAGTCCCTCTTCAAAGAAAAACAACACACAAAAGAGATAAAGGAGTAATTTCACTGTCTCCACTTACAAAAAACAGAACAAAGATTGCCCCTATTCAAGACCTTTGACCACATCCCCAAAGCTTGGGCATGAACCTGGCCATCTTCTCAACACCTTCAACAGACAAGGTGAGAGGGAGATGAGCCTATCACAAGTAGGATTTTCCACCCATCACAAATTTGAGAGAGGCAGGAACAGTGACGGCATTTGGCATCACTGATCTAAGACTTCCCAGACCTCGCTGGCCTTGCTGGACAAATAAGCTCTCTGAAACCCAGCAAGCCTTATGTGTGACAGCCTGGAATACGAGATCCTGCTCAAACTGTGGATGTGGGGTAACAGCAAAGCACTACCAAATGCACACAATCGTTAAAAACAAACACTCTGCAAACAACTTAACTTTAGCAAACCACATTTAAACAAAGTATAGCTGTTTAATGCAGAACAGCTAGAAAAAAACACCCAAACTTAACTAAAACTCACAAAGCAAAGCCAACCATCTTCAACAAAAAGAAACTCAAAAAGCAAAACAATACAACCCCAAAACGTGAATGCAGTGATGCCTAGACTAGGATCTTGGGCAAAACAGAAAAAACAAAGCAACTAAGGAGTATTATGTAAGACATCATCTTTCAACAGCTGCACCGTTCCACTTGTGCTCTCAAGTGCTCACAGCTGCTTCCTCATTCATGGCCGAACCCAACAAACTTTTTAAGTTTAATATTTTTCACTGCATCTGTCTCCAGCAACAGATCAGCAAAGGTGATGTAAGTCATGTATGCAAGCACATACAGCCCTCCCACTGACACCTCTTCAAGGCCTTCTGGCTTTTTTTTTTTTTCCCTCGAGTTATAAAGAACTAAGGTGGTACTGCCTGCCAATAATGCACAGACACATTGCCTCAAAACACCTTTACATGAGAGCAAAGTGATGAATGACAGCACTATTGACTCTTTGGATATCACCCCAGAGATTTACACTGCTCGTCACACCTGCACGCAGCACAGCAGTACCACAGCACCATATGACAGCACAGCTTATTACTCCTTTTCCTCCATGGATAAAAGGTTTAGTTTTTCCTCTAGCCTTTAGAGCTATGAACCCTTTATAAGCCTTCCACACACTCCCTTACCGCTTCATCTAAGTTTAGGAAACACAAGCTCTGACATACCAAACCTGCACATACATTCATCTGTGCCACTGAAGCACAAGGGATCTGCTACAAGAACAATTACACAAACATTCAGCTAACTGAAGGCTCCAAGTCTAACATACAGCTATGCCAGCCAGCAATCCAAAGCTCACCTACATTGGCCAAAGGTTTGCTCCAAAACTCAGTGAAAAACGTTTGCCAAGTTCTACTGATTCTGGCAAGGGCTGGGGCTTACCGTGCATGTTACAAATAATAAACACACCATTATCTCCCACAGGACACAGAGCAAAAGCCTACTACAGTCAACCAGCATCCAGTAAGTTAGGCTGAAGCATTATAGAGATTATAAAACATTCTGATGTACCAAGAGTTCCTTTCTATTCTCCATCTATTTCTATAGTCTAAATCAACTATTTAGATCTTCATCATACATGCTCTTCAGTGGACTGAGAAAGCTGAAAAATGGGCAAGTTTCGGAGAAGTGACATCCTCCCGAAGACCTGTATCAGGTGAAAAGGCTTCTGTGCCTGGGTCCTTCTACCCGTATCGGTTACTTTAATAAGCTGCAGCACCTCTCCCCAGGCATCTTGCCTGGTTCAAGAACGCCGCAAGAAGACATGTCGCAAGACCGCATTACGGAGCTAGCCATGTACCAGCTCCTCAGCAAAGGAACAGTGCTGCTCTCCATACACGCCCCCCGCCCCGCAGGCCAAGGCCGCCGCCTCTCGCGGGGCAGCAGCG